GGCCGCCCCTGCGCCGCGCCGAGCTCTCGCGAGGACTCACCCCCCCTTCTCGCGGGAGCGGCAGGGAGAGCCGGGGCAGGGCCGCCGCCATGTTGGGAGTGGCGCCGGGTCCCGCCCGCGCCGTACGGAGCTCCGCCCCGCCCCGGCGGCCATCTTAGGCGTGGCGCACAGCCCCGCCTCTCTGCGCGCACCCCCCCCCCCGCGGCCATGTTGAGAGTGGAGCGTCCCCTCCCTCCTGAAGCTGCGTCCTGRTGCACGGGGGACGCCATGTTGAGAGTGGCACAAAGAGACTGGTGGGCCTGGGTAGGGGGCGACAGACCCCAAAATGGGGTGGGGTGGAGAGGGGAAACCCCCGGCCAGAAACCAGGACCCCCCAAGACAGGGCCTCACTCGAGGGGTTCAAAAGGACAGGGGGCTCAGGGACCCCATCCCCAGCCCAGGGTGCAGGGGGGCTGCAGAAGGGAGGCAGGGGCAGAGAGGGCAAAAAAAGCACCCACAGCACCAGCCAGCTCTGTTTTCCTAGGAGTTTAATTAGACTTTACCGATTTATTGCTCATCTGCAAGGATTAATAATATTGCATTCATAAAAATCATTCATATACAAAATAAACCTCTGCCGCCCTCCCTCCCCCCTTCAACAGCTCCCCCCCACTCCCCCCATGGCTTGGTCAGAAAGGATGGGGGGGTCCCTGGACACCCCCAGACCCAGCGCAGAGCGGGGAGAGCCCGGAGGAGAGCAGGGTCGGAGCCGTGTAAGTGCTTGGGCACAGGGGAGCTTGGGGAGGGGGGAGCCGCGAGGACAGGGCTGGGGACAGCAGTGGCACCCGGGGGAGAGGGCTCTGCCTCCAGCTCCAAACAGCAGGAAACCCTCCCAAAATAAACCCCGGGAACCCTTACAAAACAAGAAAAAAAAGATATCTGGGGTGCTTGCAGGGCAGCCCCGCCACTTCCCCTCTCTTCAAATATCTGTTTAAGAACCAAAAAGGAAAAGAGGATGGGGGAAAAAAAAGAAGGAAAAAAGGTGCAGTTTGGATTTAAAAAAAAAAAAAGAAAAAAAAGAAAAGGAGATGAGGATAATGCTTGGGTAAGTGACCCACGTCCGAAGTAGCACCCTGAAATGGTGAACTCCCTCCTCCGCAGCCGGACCGCTAGCCCCCAGGCTGGGGCCTGTCACCTATTCGCGAGGTGGCCAGCAGGCGCCACTCGGCTCCCGGGCAGCGCCAGGAGCACTGATCTAGCAGCTAAAACTGGGCTCTTTAAGGCAATTTAGAAGTTGCAGAGAATCCACACAAAGAACAAAACGTAAGGGGAAGGCAGAAGGGCATCGCTGTAGCTGCAGGTAGCCCAGTCGAGACAAAAATCAGGCTGGAAAGGTCAAGAAAGAAAAACAGGAATAACAATAATAAAATAACCGTCGTTGCAGGAACGAGTTGCCCTTTGCGGGCCGAGAAAAGGGAACCCCCCTTGGCTGGCAGGGAGGGCTGGGGGCCACCGGCAGCTTCAGCCACATCCAAGCAGGAAGCAAATCCCAGGTTGTCTGCCAAGGTCAGACTGAGATGCAATTACAGGGAAGGGTGAAACAGAGGAGGGGAGAGGAAGAAAAAAAAAGAAAGAAAAAAGGCCTTAAAATCACACTGATAAAAGAAGCATAAAAACTCTGTTGGTTAAAAACAAGAACAAAAAAGAAAACATAATAAAATGATCTTTAAAAATAATCTCTCTAAAGTTTGCCTTGTGTGGTCTGGTCCTTCATGGACATGGTCCGTCAGTATCTGGAAGAGAAGGGGATGGCCGGTGAGGCCGCGGGGGCGCAAGGACGGAGCTGGGGTGTCCAGGGACGGGGCTCCCTGCCCCGTRGCACTGTCCCCCAGCACCGACCTGTAGTAGTTGGGTTTGAAAGGCCCGTTTTTGTTGAGTCCCAGGTATTTTGCTTGATCGTCCGTCAGCTCCGTGAGGTGGGCATCGAAGGAAGGCAGGTGCAAACTGGCCACGTACTCGTCTGCAAAGAGGAGAGGAGAGCAGGGCTCGGGGGGCTGCACGTTCCCCCCTGGCGTTTGGGGAGCTGYTGCATTGCACTTGCCCCATGGCATGAGAAAGGGGGCCCTGCTACAAGCACACACGGGGGCAGGGGGCTAAAACAGGGTTTAGCTGCCGTTTAGCAGCGCGTTTTCACCCTTGCGTAACCCTGACGCATTGCTCAGCCCACAGCACTGAGTAGGGCTGGATACGCGCCGAGAGGCCCAGGGTTATGTAAGAACCAGGAAATTTCCATGAGAAGGAAAGCCAAGACGCATCAAGGACAACAGACTGAACCACCAGCAGGTGCCTGAAGGATTCTGGTTTCCCTGAACCATCCTCTCCCTGGAAGTTTGGTGCAGCCCAGATTTGAATTTCTCCTTATAGCCAAAACTGCTGGGCCCAAGGAGGACAAATCAGTGGAAAAACCCGCTGCTGAGCGCCGAGCAGACAGTTCCCTTCACTCACCCATCTTCTTGGGCAGCAAGTAGACGTCCTGTTTGTAGCGGCCCTCGGGAGCGTTGTAGAGCTCGATCAGAGCCAGAGCCTGCAGGGATCACAGGGGACAGACRACCCGGGGACAGTCAGGGACAGACCCACGAGGGAAGGGAAGCGGCTCAGATTCTCCTGCTCCCTCAGCAGGAGCAAAATTGCATCTCTCCCAAGTGCCAGGCACAAAATATCACCCGGTCCCCRTCACTTTAAACAGTTTAAGTGCAGGGAAAAGCAAATCCCTCCCTATCAGYGCCCTCCCTGGCCATGCCAGCGGGTCTCCTCGGCTGCGTGCAGACCTGGGCTGCCCTGGCAATGGGKTTTTTTGTGCAGCGGGGACCGAGGGCGATTCGCAGAGCTGAGCTGCACTTAGTCATCGCTTTCCTTGGAAAGGCAGAGCCCTGGCAAGCAGTGCAGCCCGCGTCCCACCCAGCCAGGAGGCCGTGGACACGCACAAACACTTTAACTATTAACAGCAGCCCCTCCAGTTTGCCYATTTTGGCGATGTAGCAAGTGAGATAACAAAATCCTGCTCTATGGATGTCAGGAAGCCGACTTCAAGGCAGCTCTCCAGCGGCATATAGCACTTCAGAACCACTCCGTTTAAGAGTTACCTTCCAGCCAGGAGACAGCAACCAAAGAATGACATCCCAGACAAAAGGCAGTGGCAACAGCATCCCTAGTGCCAGCAGGATCCCAAGCACCCATCCCACAGCAYGTTCCAAGCTTTTTCCAAACTGTTCCCACACCTGAGGCTCGTGTGAGACCCCAGAGCACCTGCCCGCCCTGTGCTCCCCAGCCCTGCAGTGTCCTGACCTGAGTGGTGGCCGTGATGGAGAGGACGAAGGTGGGAACCGTGGAGCAGCTCAGGTTGAGAAGACGGCCCTAGGAGAAAGGAGGGGAGTTTGCCAAGAGCTCAGCTTGCCCTACAGGCAGCCTCAAATCAAATCAAGTCTCTGTTMGAGCAGAGAGTAACTAGAGCTCAGGAATTCAGGGATCACGAATGTCAAAGCCAGATGCAGACGGCCTTGTGCTGATGCAGATGGCTCCTGGCTTTGCAGGACAAGCCAYGTGGCACCTCCTTGACCACATGCGGTCGCAGTGCTTCCCTTACCCCAAGATAGGGGAAAATCCCCCTCCCCAAAACATCACGGCACAGGCCCCAACGTACCTCAGCCAGCAACACCACCCTCTTCCCGTCTGGCCAGATGACGTGGTCCACTTGGGAGCGGACGCGCTCCCAGGTCAGCTCCGGGGTCCGGAGGCTGGTCTGTGAGAGCAAGGGGAGAAGGACCAGTTATTTCAGGAGGACATGAGGCCGGGCAGGCAGCTGGACGCGCCGGGTGATGAGTTTGAGCGCAGCAGGACAGAGCAGCGGGCGGCGGCTGCGGGCAGACTCACCACATCGATTTCGGTGTTGGAGTGGCCCATGTTACACACGATACAGCTGTTTTTCATCCGATCCAGGTGTTCCCTGGTCACAACGTTCTTGTTTCCTGCAGGCAGGTAGGGCACAAATGAATCCAAGGCAAAGGAAATATAAACCTTTTAATTTCTGCCTCCTCGCTCTTGGTGCRGGGAAGCCCAGACTGGAGCAACGAGGTGAATCTCAGCCAGGACAAGAGCCCTCCTGGCTGTCAGCACAGTGGGACACACGTGAGAAGAGCTCATCTTTGGTTCCATGAATTCACCAGGCCCCAAGAGACCTCAAAATACATTTTTACAATACATATTTGCAAACACTTGGCTGTGAAGTCCCCCTATCAGGTGCTAAGGAGGGCTATGGTCCAAGAGCTGAGTGCTTGTGTAAAAGGAGCAGCCCATGGCAGTGAATGGCCCTCTATTCCCAAGGCCTCCTGAGGATTCTGCCTCCAGGCACCCGCTCCATCACCTCCAGCAGCAACGGTCCCACCTCCGTGCTGTACCTGTGCAGGTGATGACAACATCCACCTGGCGGATAACTTCGCTCAGCTTCACCACCCGGAATCCATCCATGCTGGGGACAGAGGGGGACAAAAAGGGGACAGAGATCATGAGGAGAACCTATTCCCCAGGCCAGGATGGACCCTGGTTGCTCAAGCAGCCCTGAACTGCTCACAACAGCCATCAGACTAYCCATGCACACCCCCAGGGATACCAGATGCAAGCGGAAGGGCCGTGCAAAGGTTCAGGTGTGACACTTGCTCTTACAAATGTTGTAGGGGCCAAGGAGTGTGTGGAGCACTCAGTCAGCCCCGCATGGGCCCTCAAACTGTCTTCCAAAGCTGTCCCTGCTCAACCAGCCCTAGAAGCTGCCCCAAGCCTTCCCCAGAGACACACGCTCTCCGAGGGTTTTCCTGGCTTCACTTCTGCCTCCACCAGGGTTTAAAAGAAGCCAGATCCGAGATGCCTATGAGCAGTAGGTAACCTCTCTCACCAGGCTTGCAGAGCACAGATGGGGTCAATCTCTGTAACGTAGACTATCGCTCCCAGGGCTTTCAGAGCGGCACAGCAGCCCTTGCCAACCTGCCAAGGCAAAGTGACAGCATGAAGCAGCCTGCAGGACACAACAGCATTACAGCAGCCCCCCTTGTCTTCAAAACA